ATTTTATTTTACAGAGCTAGTTGAAAGAGACACCTAATAGCAAGAAAAGATCCAGCTGTCGTTCCATAGGTGATAGTATTCAATTGGAACGTTTCTAAAGGATTATCTGAACTCTCACGCTAGAGAATCCTTTATAAACATTGGTGTTCTGGAGCAATTAAAATTTGACGGTACATTTTTTCAATGTCAGCTGCTACCACATACGCATGCTGTCTAAGTAGTAATGATATTGCCAATAAATCATTCTGAATTGTTGGTCCTACTAGCTGAATATTGTTTAGTGAAAAACCACTGCTTGTTGGAGCAGAAGCATAAAAAACAATACGTAGTTTTGTGGTAATGCTATCTTCCTTCAACACGGCATGATGAGTAATAGAATTTTGAGAAAATATTTGCATCACCTTGTTTCATTTTAGTCATGTGTCCTAAACGTTCATATTCTTTCATGAATTTTATGTATTCTTCCCTCAAATTGAGTTGCCTTTGAAATTTACGTTCTAAAGAATGAAATCGGTACTTTGCGTGTTCGTATCGCCATCTCATCTTTTGACCACATTTTTTCTGTACATTCTTCTAACTCCTAAGAACGCGATAATTGAAATTGAATATCGCGTATTTGACTAAAATTACAAGTCTTATTTGAAAACTGAACTTTATTACATGGACCGGAAACAAACCAGCCCAAACGTGTTTTTTGTAGGACAGGTTGATTATTTCCTAACGAAATTTGACCTTCTGCCAACAAATTCCAAAACAAATTGGCCCCAATAAGCATGTCTATTTGGCTTGGTTCAGAAAATGACGGGTCAGCTAAAATCAGGTTTTTAGGAATATTCAAGTCTTCAATGATGAGAGATACACTCGGTAACTCGCTGGAAATATGAGGAATAACTAAACATGTAATATCTTCAGAAAATTCATTGTGAAGAGATTGAATTGTTAAATTACATTTTTCTGTTATATTTAAAGTTGATTGACTTATTTCAGAAACTAATAAATTAATTGGATTAGTGATTAAATTCAATCGTCTACATATATGTTTTGTAATATAACTTGATTGTGATCCTGAATCTAACAATGCACGAACTGTATGAGAAACTTTGTTCGCATCTAATACTTGAATATATGCCGTAAACAAAAAGATGTGTGAATCTGACACCTGAGAAGACAAAGTTGAAACATTATTACTGAATGGGTCGTCGTGATTAACATCTAATTCATTCGAAACATGTTTTTCAAAATGTAATAAAGTATGATGCTTTGAGTTGCATTTTTTGCAAGTTCCCCGACGACAAATAGCTATTATGTCCGGGTCGTAGACAATTTAAATACAACTTTAAGGCTTTTGTTTTCTCTAATCTCTTGTCAACCGCCAATTGCAAAAATTGAAAACAATTTTGTATGTAATGTTCTTTGCTGCAAACTTAACATTTGAACTTATTATCGGTTGCAACGAAATTTTTAGATATTTTGGCTTTAGCCGATTTTTCAAGTTTATTCACCTCTAAAGTTTCTAATAAATCAGCTCGTGATTTTAAAAATATTTTAAGGTCATTTAAT